TCCATTGTTTGATCTTCAGATGATTTTTTACACAGAATTACTAGAAAATCTGTTCCATGTATCTGCTTGGAGATTGCGTCGGTCGGATCTTACTGTTTACGAGGTCTCCAAGCAGATGTTCGGGGGGAGGGTATAGTTGGGGTTGTCCCTTTCTCTGTATCTGTTCCATTGTTTGATATTCGAGTGAATGCTTACAGACTTACTGAAAATTAGTAAAACAAACATTCGGTCCCTGTATCTGCTTGGAGATTGTGTCGGTCGGATCTTACTGTTTACGAAGTCTCCAAGCAGATGTTCGGGGGAGGGTATAGTTGGGGTTGTACCTTTCTCTGTATCTGCTCCATTGTTTGATCTTCAGATGATTTTTTTACACAGAATTACTAGAAACATTCGGTCCCTGTATCTGCTTGGAGATTGCGTCGGTCGGATCTTACTGTTTACGAGGTCTCCAAGCAGATGTTCGTGGGTATAGTTGGGGTTGTACCTTTCTCTGTATCTGTTCCATTGTTTGATATTCGAGGGAATGCTTACAGACTTACTGAAAATTAGTAAAACAAACATTAGGTCCCTGTATCTACTTGGAAATTGTATTGGTCGGATTTTACTGTGTGCGAAGTCTCCAAGCAGATGTTCAGGGCATAGTTGTAGAGAACAAAATGAACACGCTACACAACATTATGATACAGTAAATGAAATAAAATATGGTTATACCTCTCTCACAAGCAAACTAAGATGACTATGCATAAACTATTCTTTCATAAGATAATCGTGCAGAAGACTAGCTATTCTCTCTTTTTTTTAATATTTACATATCACCTTTTTCCAAAACTGTAGGACATGTAGGATGGCACATGCTTTTCTGTCATTCCGTGAGTTTGGAAGCTAAAGGCCTTTTGCCCTGCAAAATAAGGTTTTTGTTGTAAACCGGAAGGGAGACTATTTCCCAGTAAGTCCGTCGCGACAGTTGCCATAGCAACAAACCTTTCTGTCTGACTGACCACCACCACCACCTCTGGGTGGTCCGTGCACGAGGCACCATACATTCATTCAGTCGGTCGCCAGCTACCCGCGAGGACGTACTAAACTTTCGTTGTACCAACTGACAAACTATTTGACTTATTTGACTCATTTGCCGTATCAACAATACTTAACACAATCCAAATCTAAAGGGGAAAATCCAATTTATTCCCCTTTTTTCGTCTTGAATTTTGAAATCTTAAGACAACAAAATTTTGAAGGTGAAGCTTTTCAAACTGTAATAACAAAAATTAAAGACATTACGAAGTTCAGAAAGACCATCATAGTGGCTTAGATTTCTGGGGTTAGCGAGGGAACTTCCCTCGTGTGGCCAGGTACAAGTTATATTTTCTGTTTTAGCCAGCCACCATAGGAGGGAAATTCCCTCCTTTAACCGGTCACAACGGAAAGTTTCTGTCTTAGCCGACCAAGAGGGAACTTCCCTCGGCCAGGCCGAGACGAACGGTGTTCATGCACGAAGTCCGTCACTAGCGGCGTCCCTTGCCAAGTCACACACGAGGGAAGTTCCCTCGCATGGTGTTCATGCACAAAGTCCGTCACTAGCGGCGTCCCTTGCCAAGTCACACACGAGGGAAGTTCCCTCGCATTGTCTTTATGCACGAAGTCCGTCACTAAAGGTGTGCCTTGCCAAGTCGCACACGAGGGAAGTTCCCTCTCGACACGAACGGTGCTTATTGCGTGATGTCCGACTGAGGGAAGTTCCCGCTACCAGGCCGACACGAACGGTGTTCTTGCGTTAAATCCGGCATCAGCGGTGTTCCTTGCCAAGTCACACACGAGGGAAGTTCCCTCGACGTCAACTAGGCCGACACCAGCGGTGTTCCAGCGCGAAGTCTGTGCAGGCCGACTAAGGCCGACACGCGCGTACTGTCAAGTCCGCCTAGAGGGAACTTCCCTCGCCGAGTCCGCCAGGAAGGGAACTTTGTCGCGATGTCTGCCACGAGAGAAGTTCAACACGAGAAGAATCCTGCTGCCAAGTTTAACACAAAGGGAAGTTTATGAAAAGTCTGCCACGTTGGGCCTTTTCCCCAGACCAGAGGAGCCATCTTTGGTGAAGGACAAGGTGAGCTATGTTATACCATTCAGTTATGTGACGCACACACTGAGCGTTTGACTGCTGTACAAATATTATATGTCATCATACCACAATAAAGTTACTGTTTTAACACTGAACACTGTACATTACTGGGGTCAAAGCCCCTAACAACGCCTTTAAAATGGATACAACGATTACCTTCAACTCTTACATGGCTATGGCAAGATACAGTATAAGATATAGAAACCAGGCATAGGTATTTCAACATGTCAATAAACTCCAGACAGATTATTTCAATTTGTCACATGTTTACAATGTTTACAACAAAGCGTCATGACATGTTAGCTATATAATTTTTACATCTGGTATAGGTAGAATAGGTATTTGAACATGTGTACTGAATAACACAATGCGAAGACTACTCAATACATCTGTGGTCAATATTAAATGTATGAAACTTCAACTTAACAGTAGCGTGGTGCAGTCTAAATCTAGATACGACCTCGCCCTCGTCCACCTGCACGGGCACCGCATGAGCGACGTCCACGGCCTCTGTTCCCACCTCGCTTCCTCTTCTTACCCACTGTCGACCCCTGGACGAAAAACTAATGAAAATTGCATCATATGATTAGTAACAACTAAGAAGCATGACGTCCTTATTTATCAATAAATTATACATCCTCCTCCGAAAATTCCTCTCCCTCTCCTTTTTTATCTGACACAGTCTACCTAATCTCCAAGCAGATCCTAGGGTCGGCAAAAAAGAGTATCAAATTGGCCAGGCAGTATCTAATGAGCCAGAGAGGGTCCATGCGTGACCCAAGTTGGTGGGGGTAGCGAAAAAAATGGACCATATATTAAAAACTAACGGTCATTCCCCCACAACCTCTGCTTGTAGAGAATAGTCTACCCACTATTTATTTTTTGGAGCGCAAAATCTTACCTCGGCACTTTCCAGCTAGGCTGATACACTGAACTAGCCTGGTCAGTACTTGGACTTGGACCCGGTTTACACACAGGCAAAATCCGAGCGTACGTTCGTTTCTGTTAATACATCGACAGGGAGGGCCAGAGAACTCCCGCTGCGTCCCACACTATCGTGACCTCAAATAACCTGCCGCCATGGACGTACTTGACCAGTTTTTGTAGTTTAGTTGTAGCCTCCATGTCTCACGCAATGTCATCGTATACTTCCTTATTTCTAACAGTCTCCATTTTGCTTTTGATCCTGTCGTAACTCCATACTCCAATTCGCGCTGTTGCGCCCTTCCGACATGCCCAGCGAACAGCAAAAAGCTCACTAACTCTAAACAATTGAAACAGAGAATCAAAGGGAGAGCAAAACGACTGAAACACGGAGAATTGAACAAGTGAACACTGCGTGGCTGGTACAAACGCGGGAAAAGACTGGAATTTGCAACAAGAAAGGAGTTCATTCCTGTTTTATAAGGGACTGGGAGGCACGGAGACTCCCGGGCCCGCTGGGCGAGCCGCTGATCGTACGCCTGCCCTATAGGTAACGTACCGAAATTGTGTACGAAAATTGGGGCCGGTGTACACGGAGGGAAAACCTTTGCGTAAGCAATTTTCGGCGCAATTTGGTTGACATGAGATAGGGATGGACATCCACGGTAAGGGGAGTTACAGGCAGTCTGATCTTTGTCTTCTGGCTGAACTATGCGATGCTTCGTTCTCTGTGATAAAAAGTAGAGCCCAAGTCACACCCTCCTTTGAATTAGCTGGGGTGTTACGCTTGAAGGGCGGTTATACCGGCTATACAGATACAAAATTTGGCCGGAAAATTAGTCGACTAGGTTCGGCAGAACACTAAATTTAGGCAATGCACACCATTATATACGCAACGGAACGAATTAGAACATGACTGAATTACTCCCGGTCGGCCAAGGGAGGGATTCTTCCGCATAAGTGAGAACACCCTGGAATGGTCTGGATTGAGGGAGCCTTACTCTCCAACCATGTTTGTTTGTTTTATTTAAAATATTGGGATCTCCATTAGTGGATGGT